ATGTAACGTATTTGCTTTATTCATGTTTCTGTCTTATGCAACTTATGTAGCCTACAAACTTAAAAATAACCTATTTAACTTGAAAAAACACTTCTTTCATTAAAACATAACTGATTTAAACGTATATACGTATATAGCTTACATAACTTTGATAAACTTAAAACTTTAACCCTTATATAACTCATATACCTCATATCCCTCATTTTGCTTATATCACGTATATAACGTATTTAACTTGTATAACTTATACAGTTAACCTTAAAACCTGTAGCACCTATGATATAGCCCATACAACTTCTAACCCGTAACTGCCCATGAAGCTCCACGCAAGCCAGCTTTCGCCATGCTGCCTGACTTCTGGGAAGTACCTCTGCCACAGCTCAAGCTCGGAGCGGACTGCAGCCTCAATCCTTGGTGTTTAGGGTTTAGGGTTTAGGGTGTGGGGTTTAGAGTTTAGGGTTTAGGGTTTAGGGTTTAGGGTTTAGGGTTTAGGGTTTAGGGTTTAGGGTTTAGGGTTTAGGGTTCTTGTGGACGTTGAAAGTATTCAGGGCTCAGGATCGGAAGGTTTCGAGGCGTTTCCAAGAGTTCCAGGAAAAGTTTCGAATTCAAGTTACAGGGGCTTAAGGGTTTAGGGTTAGGGAGGGGTTAAAGGTGCTGGGGATCTGAAAACTGCTTCACGGAATCCTGCAGCTTCACCAAACGTGCACTGGACGACGAAAGCAAAGACCCCCTGAAAAAAACATTTAGGGTTTAGGGTTTAGGGTTTACTGTTTAGGGTTAGGGTTTAGGGTTTAGGGTTTAGGGTTTAGGGTTTAGGGTTTAGGGTTTAGGGTTTAGGGTTTAGGGTTCAGGGTTTAGGGTTTAGGGTTCAGGGTTTAGGGTTTTAGGGCTTAGGGTTTAGGGTTTAGGGCTTAGGGTTTCACGCGGCTGGATAAGTGCAAAAGTGCAGTGCGAGTTGCTTCTCCTTGCTGGCCTTCTCCACCAACTTTTGCACACCTCCGGGTTGCGGAGCCGTGTCCGGAGAAACCCTAAACCCCAAACCCTAAACCCTAAACCCTAAATTCAACCATAGGCCCGGCGTAGCTGTAGTGCTGCATTGTGATTTTGGTGGTGCCTGGCACGTCGAATCTTAAGTGGCTACCTCGCTGACAGCACGTCCCCCACTACAAACTGAAACTGGATCATGCGGATCGTGGTTTAAACCCTAAGCCCTAAACCCCAACCCTAAACCCTAAACTCTAAACCCTAACCCTTGGCCTTGCCTGAGACTTGCTCGCGTGCAGGGACGCTCTGCTGCTTGGCGTGGAAATGCTGCGCAGCCGCGACGGGCTGTGACCTAGCCCGGGAATAGCCCCCCACATCCAAAACGCCCTAATATGGGGGCCTGAAAAATAGAATAGGGTTTTGGGGGTTATTATAGTAGAATAACAAAGGGACCATAAGGGAATACTATTCGTAATTATTGCGACCCCTTTATTAAGCACACGGCTGGCAACTTGCTGCCTCTCTCCATCGTGCCGAATGACGGGATCAGGGCAGCACCAGACTCATACCAGGTCGGGCCATATTCCACAGTGAGATATCTATCCACGTCTGCCGGTATCCAGAAGGTATCGTTCAGCCAAACCCTTGGCGCGGCATGGCGTGCAGAAACAAAACTATGGTTTGCTTAAGAACCCCCCCCCAAAAAAAAAAAAAAAACAAACAATGATAATCCCTTTCTAAGGAAGATCTTTTGGGGGAGTTCTGAAGCCAATAGTAGAGAAGCCCCCCCCCAAAAAAAAAAACAGTTACCCTTATGAGGAAGATCTTCTGTGTTTTTTGGAAGGCTCTTGTCCCTTTATTACTCTTAAACGTTATGAGGACTTCTTGTTTGTTTGTTGGAGAGGGGTTCTGAAGCAAAGAATAGAGAAGTGCCCCCCCCAAAGAAGAAAGCAATCCCGGAGTGCTCTTAATAAGCAAATAGTAGAGACGTGCATCCCCCCCAAAAAAACCAGAAAATCGTTTCTATATTGCCCTTTTAAGGAAGATCTTTGTTGCGGGGGGAATTGTGAAGCAAATAGTAGAGAAGTGCACCCCCTCCCAAAAAAAACGGAAACAAGTAAAATAATCCCTATATCGTCCCTATAGTGCCTTTTTCAGGAAGATCTTTTTTAGAAGTACATCATGGGAGGCAGCCAAGTCAACTCAGAATCACCCGCCCAGCGTCGAAAGCCTGAAGGCTCGAATGGGAACGGGACCTCGGACCGTGGAACCGCTTTAGGGTTTAGGGTTTGGGGTTCAGGTTTAGGGCTTAGGGCTTAGAGCTTAGGGCTTAGAGCTTCGGGCTTAGGGCTTAGGCCTTAGGCCTTAGGCTTTAAGGTTTAGGGTTTAGGGTTTAGGGTTTAGGGTTTAGGCAGTATGGCAGTGCTAGAGCCAAGCACTGATCATTCATCTCAATTACGTGTTCTGCCCTGAGAATCCACGGCTGAGTGCGGGCTGCTTGCGGCTGGGCCCGGACTTGTCCGGCGCCTGCGGCGAAAACATGAAAATGTCTCGAGAACAAGAGGGACTGAGGGCCCTATATATATATAATACATATAGATATATATATATATATGGTAACCCCCCCCCCCCCCAAGTACCTAGGTCTCATTTTCTTCCCTGTCTCAGGCACCGGCCTCAGATGACTTGCCTCTTGTAGGGTTTAGGGTTTAGGAGTGAAAGTGCTGTACTGTCCCGAAAAAACCAATCCCAGAAGCTGAAAGTGCTGTACTGTCCCTAAAAAACCTAAAAAACCAATTCTGGAGGCCTATCAAGACAGGCTCTCCTCAAAAGATTGGTTTTTTTGGGACAGTACGGCACTTCGAAGGCCTGAGGTGCTGAAAGTGCTGTACTGTCCCTAAAAAACCAATCCCAGAAGCAGAAAGTGCTGTACTGTCCCTAAAAAACCTAAAAAACCAATTCTAGTGGCCTATACAGACAGGCCCTCTTCCAAAGATTGGTTTTTTAGGGACAGTACGGCACTTTGAAGGCCTGAGGTGCTGAAAGTGCTGTACTGTCCCTAAAAAACCAATCCCAGAAGCAGAAAGTGCCGTACTGTCCCTAAAAAACCTAAAAAACCAATTCTGGTGGCCTATACAGACAGGCCCTCTTCCAAAGGTTGGTTTTTTAGGGACAGTGCGGCACTTTGAAGGCCTGAGGTGCTGAAAGTGCTGTACTGTCCCTAAAAAACCAATCTTTTCGTGAGGGTCTACCTGTATAGGCCTCCAGAATTGGTTTTTTAGGTTTTTTAGGGACAGTACAGCACTTTCTGCTTCTGGGATTGGTTTTTTAGGGACAGTGCAGCACTTTGAAGGTCTGAGGTGCTGAAAGTGCTGTACTGTCCCTAAAAAACCAATCTTTTGAAGAGGGGCTGCCTGTACAGGTCCCCAGAATTGGTTTTTTAGGTTTTTTAGGGACAGTACAGCGTTTTCCGCTTCTGGGATTGCTTTGTTAGGGACAGTACAGCACTTTCAGCCCTTCAGATCCCCAAAGTGCTGTACTGTCCCTAAAAACCAATCTTTTCGTGACGGCCTGCCTTGTAATTATAGGCCTCCAGAATTGGTTTTTGTTTGTTCAGAGAGCACAGTTCAGCAGCAATAAAGCTAATTCAACTATTTGTTAAAAACTGTGATGTAAGTAACATTTTATCTAATCGATGTAATGCCTAATGACGCGACGAGGTCAAGTTTCCTGATAAGTAGGCTTTAATTAATCTAATTTGCTTTACAACTGTCATTCATTTAGTCTGGTTGAGGTTGAAGTAAAAAAAGGATAGACATTTAGTTAGTTGAATGCTGTCTACCTCTTAGAATAAGAAACTAAATGTAGTTGTTTCTTGGGCAGGCCTATTAAAGTATTCGTTTAAAGTAATTAGTCCAGTCAGGCTGAACCAATTGAATTGTTGTTAAGGATCGTGGCTTGTTTAATTTAAATTATCGAATTCGTTTAGTTAAGGGTATACTAATTAGTTTCATTCATTTGCTTCACCTTTAAGTAAACTAAATCCACAATTGAAATGATTTTGACTACATTAATATCAGCAAACAAACGGCCGTAGTTACTGTTCTTAGTAAGTTTAGTTCATTGAATTCTTTTAGTTAATTATTGGTCTACGAACTCAGTTTATTTACTTAACCCTTCAGAAGACTAATCAAATTGTTGGAAAGACTTTACGTATGTTATTTTCCATAAACGAAAAACTTTAGTTAAACTAAGTACTGTGCTTGTTCACGAAAAGAAGAAGGAACATGTTTTAGCTCATTCAATGAATGCTTAAGTGAAGCCATTAGGTCAGGTTCCCTATTACGCATTATGTTTTAATTAATGTAGTGTATGAACAAGTTTAATTACAGGCCTGTCTTTTCTAGCACAGAAGCAAAAACACCTTCAGAAGACTAATCAAACTGTTGGAAAGACTGTACGTATGTTATTTTCCAGAAACGAAAAACTTTAGTTAAATTAAGTACTGTGCTTGTTCACGAAAAGAAGAAGGAACATGTTTTAGCTCATTCAATGAATGCTTAAGTGAAGCCACTAGGTCAGGTTCCCTATTACGCATTATGTTTTAATTAATGTAGTGTATGAACAAGTTTAATTACAGGCCTGTCTTTTCTAGCACAGAAGCAAAAACACGTGTAACATGATTCCGTCGCACGCCGTGTTGCACTGCTTGCTGCGTCTGTCGCCTATGTGTTGGGCAGTATCCTCCATTCCGTTCATGCGATTCAAAAAACACGTTTTTTTGTAAATCCTACGAAAAACACACTCTTTTTTAAGTAAAACCTAGGCGCTACGGGGGGGGGGGGGGGTAGCATATATATATATATATATACCCTTTCAAGGGATTATATAGCTACTATATATCCATACACCCTTTAAGGGATTATATAGCCACTATTCAAAAGCCACCTCAACTCCCACAAATTCAAGCACACAGTGCAACGTCCAAGAGCCCGCGTCAGCTACCTGCCTGGCCTCTAAAGCCAATGGACACAAGCGGCAATCTGTACCACAGCTTGAAATATCACATCGATCCTTAGCTTGTACCAGAAAAAAAAAGAGGCTACACTACCGGGGAGCGCGGCGCATCTCACAGAGTTCTTGAGGCAACAAGACCAATCGCAGCAACAGAAAACATCTGCCACATTGGCTGCACTCAACCCTCGGCCCTAAACCCTAAACCCTAAACCCTAAACCCTAAACCCTAAACCCTAAACCGGGGCGGCCTTCGAACTCAGCAATTGGAACATCACGATCTCCACCAGCGCCCAAGAACCGTCGATACGCAGCCGGGCGGTGAGCCTCGACTCTTTGGAAGATGATAGGGGTTTAGGAAATAGTACAACATGGTTGAAATAATACGAAATGGTGGCTAGTAGTGGTGGCTATTGGGTAGTAGTGATGGGAAGTGGTGGTGGGTAACCATGGTGGGTTACGCAAAAATATGGTCCACTACAAAAACCACACAAAAATATGGTTTAGTTTGATCCAATATCATATGGTATGATGTACTTCAAATGGTCTAGTTGTTCGGAATAAGCTTGGGCTTCACCCCCCTTCCCCCCCCCCCGCTCTGGAAGCTGACGCATGTTACGGTTTGCTTACAAAGCCCCTTTCTTTTAATCTTGTTCGCACAGCCTTGTTCTAAAGCCTTCTCGTCCATGGTTTCGCCTCCCTGCCTATTCTAAAGGCCCTCAGCATCGGGCCGGACCGAGGCAGGCCACGCGAGATAAGATAAGACAAGATAAGATTAGATAGGATAAGACAAGATAAGATAAGACCAGATCAGATAAGATAAAGATAGAGATAAGATAAGGTAAGGGAAGAGAAGAAAATATAAAATAAGATAAGGTAAAGATAAGATAAGATCAAGAGAAGATATGAAAGATAAGGCAAGATAAGAGAAGATAAGAGAAAGACAAGATAAGATAGGATAAAGACAAGATAAGTTACGATAAGATGAGATGAGATAAGATAAGATGAAAACAATACAAGACAAGACAAGAAAGGTAGGACAAGGTAAGGTAAGATAAGATAAGGTGAAATAATATACGACCAGATAAAGACAAAGATAACAATAAAGATAAAGATAAGGATAAAGATAAAGAAAAAGATACCGACAAAGATTATTTTAAAAAAAAACAAAGATAAACATAAAGATATAGATAAAGATAAAGATAAAACATTGCGATAAAAAAGAAAAAAGATCAAGACCAAGGTAGATATCAAGACATAATGATATAAAGATGTAAAGGTTTAAAGATGTGCAGATATAAAGATACCAAGATACAAAGATACAAAGAGACCAAGATACAAAGATACAAAGATACAAAGACACAAAGACACAAAGACACAAAGATACAAAGACTCAAAGATACAAAGATACAAAGATACAAAGATACAAAGACACAAAGATACAAAGATACAAGGATACAAGGATACAAAGATACAAAGACACAAAGAAACAAAGATACAAAGATACAAAGATACAAAGATACAAAGATACAAAGATACAAAGATACAAAGATACAAAGATACAAAGATACAAAGATACAAAGATGCAAAGATATAAAAGATATAAATACATAAAAATTCAAGATATAGAGATATAAAGATCCGATAAGACGGGAGGTAAGACAAAGACACACTTGATAAGACTAGAAAAGTAAGACAACACCACATAAGATACAAGGCGGCCTTATCTGCCTTAGGGGATGTTTGAGGCCTGATGTTTAGGGTTTAGGGTTTAAGGTTTAGGGATTTGGGTTTGCAGGGAAAGGGTTTTGGGAGCCCCAGGCTTAGGGTTAAGGGTTTAGGGTTTAGGGTTAAGGGTTTAGGGTTTAGGGTTTAGGGTTTAGGGTTTAAGGTTTAGGGTTTAGGGTTTAGGGTTTAGGGTTTGGGGTTTGGGGTTTAGGGGTTTAGGGTTTAGGCTTCAGGGCTTAGGGTTTAGGGTTTTGGGTTTTGGGTTTAGGGTTTAGGGTTTAAGGTTTAGGGTTTAGGGCTTAGGTTTAGGGTTTCTGGTTTAGGGCTTAGCTGAGGACATGTTAGAGTGGCTTTTGGGTTAAGGTTCAGGTTTAGTGCTTAGGATCGAGTTGCACAGTTTAAAAATTTGCAGAGTCAACCTTACATTGCTTAGCTTACAATTTTGCAAGAACAAACTTGCAGATTTGCAAGGATGACTTTGGAATTAATACAGCAACAAAACGTGACAATTTTTGTAAGGTCGTAACGGAGCTTTGATCGCAACCCGAAGCCTTAGCGAAGGCTGCAAAGTAGCCCAGAAAAGGAGCCGAATAACCCCAAAGCCAAGCCCCCTCCCCCCTACACCCCTCCCCTTCCCCCCATACCCACCAACAAAAATTTAAGAGAAAAAATAATAAATCTATATATATATATATACATATTACTCTCGAAAAACACAAAGACCCTCTGCCCAGGTAGCAATCCCAAATCCCCAGACCCTCGGCCTGCAGCTCGGCATCGTTGGTCCATCAAGGCAACCACCATCATCCAGTTTATGGCCGGATGCCTGCAACACCTTCGCAAAGCACCCTGACGAAGAAAAAGAATATAATGATAATAATAACAATAAGAATAATAATCAGCGCGAGCACAATGGCCTTTTTCAATCTGCTCACGCCGGCATCGGCCAACCATGCGCCGAATGTGGCCACGGTGGCAATGGGTTTGCCCGGGACCGCGAAGCAACTGCGCCTCCAGAGTTCACTTGCTGCAGCGCTACGATTGCTCCAGCCCGGCCCCAGCGTTTGTTGCGGCACCCTCGCGCCTCCAGCCGAGCAGTATGTCACGCACCTGCCAAAAAAAAAGTGCAAACTATAGTAATAATAATAATAATAAGAAGAATAAGAATAAGAATAATAATAATAATATCTTCTCACTCCGAGGCTACTTCGTGAACAATTCAGGCTGAGGGCGGCACCAGCACCAAGGGCACATCCATGAGCAGGCAGTGCTTCTTCAGCTCCTTCACGGCCCGCATGACCTCAGTGCCGACCACGACATGAGAACTTGGCTGCACTCAGGAGGGTGGCTGTAAAACTAAACTTCTGGCTGCCTTAGTAAGAAACCCAATGAACCCAAAAAAGGGTAAGGATCTAAAGTTACAGAAAAGTACCAGGAAGATAAATGCCACAAAACAGCAGCTTCTCGTCATGCAAATTCTGCGGCCTGGATTTGCGACTGCGTGGACTTCACGGAGTGGACGAAGGGATGAGTTTGCCAAAAGGCATCTGCCTAGTCCAAGGCATAAAAAACACATTTCAGCCTACCTGGGATGGCACATGTCGATGTCAAAACTGGTTGAGAATGGTTAACACCACGCCTCCTCCACATTGCACATTGACGCTGCCCGGCGAAAATCGAAGACATCGTTTGTGATCTCCAAGCTGCTTGAACTGCCTCACACCATCTGCACCATTCAGCATTTGGATATTGCAACTGATATATGGGGCATTTCCCGGAATAGACGGCTTCTTCAGTTTGGGTTTAGGAAAGAACGCCATTTGCCCAACTCAAAAAAAGGCCTCGGCGCATCATTCCGAAGCGTTTCGCCGCGAAATGTTGTGGGTGACGCTTCTCCTGCGTAGCTGTTGGCCGTGGCTTGTTTGTGCAAGTGCTTCAGTTCAGCTTTTGAGATAACACTGGCAGTCCACGCTCGGACCCAGAACGGTGCCTGACCCCTGCCAATTATCAACAAAATGTTCCAGCATGTGCAAGCCATAACCAAAATTAAAACATGTTTTTTCCGCACGCCTCCTTTCCGCGGATCCACACCGTCGCGGTCCCAGTGCAGTCGCCGCATCACGGCAAGCAGCTAACAAATCTAAACCAGGGGCGGGGACTCGGACGAGTTGGAAAGGAAGTCGCTGACGAGGGGGCGTGTTATTTTCTCTCTACTCGGACGCCGCCCCCCCCCGTGCGACGGTGAATGATGCACAAAAGGCAATGGGCGATATTTGTGCTGCCACTGGCGCGCTGACCTTCTTCACTTGCAACGATGAGTGCATGCATGCGCTGCACCAACGCACACTGTCGTGCGACGACGTCGGGCCCTGTCGTGCAGAAGCAAAACCTGTCCGTCCTCTATAAATAAAAAAAAGAAAAGAGAGCGCTCTCTAGGCAGCTCAGACAGGGGAGGACTGTAAGAAAGATGAGTGAATGTCCTCTACTGGCAAGGTGAGGGAGGAAGAAAGAAAGAAAGATAGAGAGAGAGAAAAACAAAAAGAGAAGGAGAAAGAGAGAGATAGAGAGAGAAAGATATAAAAAAAAAACAGAGAGCAGTCTCTAGGCACGTGATCAGACAGGCCCCGTGACACACACTCTTATTGCGAAACTTAAAGGATTAAAAGTTTGATTGTTTTCCTCGCCTATGTGTCTGGAAATTATCGGGATTCCCTTCTGCTCACAGTCGCGAAGTTCGGAAGCCCATGACAAATGCTTACAAGAAAAAGGCGTGAATGTCCCTTTTAAATCACTATAAGAGAGGGGTGAGTGTCACTATCTGCGGCAATGATCGGCACTGGCAATGACCCGGATGTGGACATCATGGTCCGAGCTTGTGTTGCGCAGCTCTTGAAACCGGTGACATGCGACATGCGCACACTCACGACCTCGTTTATGCGCCATGCAACGATTCGACGTGCTTACGTGCCTGTTGCTACCGGACAATGCGCATTGCGCTCACGCACACACACTTGTCACTTGCAGAAGTTATAGGCGTGTTTTTCGCCGCGAGCTGCCTGCATCTGTCGCCGCCTAGGCGTCGTTGGCTGGGTACGGCTGACAATGTCGTACACAGCTATCGCATCCAGCTACGCAACGTGCAGGTGCTGCGAACTGTTGTGCGACAGTTTTCGCCATAGCACACTCCGTCACCACACCGCGATCTTTCGCAACCAGCCTCCTGTCGTTTCGGCGCTGCGGCACAGCCGCGGCTTGTGGGGTTTGTGCGCAGACGGGAAGGAGTCTGCCATGTGGAAGCGCTTGCAGTGCTGTGCAGGGAACGCAGTGGGGAAACGCGTGCTCAGGGCTGAAGAGCGTGGTGTCGACAACTACCCGCACCCTCCGGGCCAGCTGGGCAGTCTGTTGGACCTGCCATGACCTGCCCGCTCGTGACGCCCGGCGCGTCGAGGTTGACTCCGCGTGCAGCAGTGCCAGTGGCGAACGCTCGCCCCGGCTTTGCGGCAACGGGCCGCAGCTCGCTGCTGGGGTCCAGCTTGCTGGGCCAGCACCAGCGGCATCGCTTGGACGCTGGCAGCGGCATGCGGCGGCACAGGAGCAGGCATGCGGCGTCACAGGGGCAGGATCCGGAATTCGCCGCTGGGGACGGCGAAGTCCGGTCCGGTGGGCAACACGGTCATTGCGCAGCTTGCTCCGGGACCTCTTTGGGATTCTTTGGGCCAAGGAGGGGTTGCCTCAACAAAAAGATGTCAGTTGACGCATGAACCAGCAAGCGTCATGTTGTCATGCTGATGCGTCTGGAACTCGAATGGTGTGTGCTAACATTGCCTTCTCTTGTCGCGGTCGATGTCCCTTGACATCCTTGGCTTGACATGTGATTACATTCATGCACATCTGCATTCCGGCCAAAGGTAGAACACCAAGATACTGGTATGTCCGCCTGCCCGCGACTGAAATCCATCAGGATGTGAGCACTCCCGGGACATTCCGCATGTTCTGCGGGCTTCACTACGGTTGGGACACTCGGCGCGACTCTCCCCAGGCTTCTTGCGCGCTCAGGCATTCTCGGCGGGGTTTTTTGGGGCAGTCCAGGACTACCAGGCGGGAATCTGTGCAGGCCGCTCTGGGGGTGCCCAAGGGGTATGCAGTCCAAGGACGCCCGGCGGGACTCTTTGCATGATTTGCTGGGAGATCCTGGGAGGGGGCACGCGCAAACCGCTTCATCTGAGTCCTGCCGAGGGGTACGTGTGCACCACCACACGGGCAGCTTGGCCGTTGCTCCACGCTCGCAAGCCACCTACGGTCGCTGGTGTGTTGGTTTCGCTCGCTTGCTGTTGTCGCGCGATTTCGCGGGCACAAAACCGGTACGTCATTCAATCGTCGTGAGTTGCGTGTTGAATTATGTTGCATTATGGCAAGCCGCCTTGGTGACAGGAGCACGTGCTCAATCCAGCTGGGCACGATCTGGCATCCGTGTTTATGCGTTACGTAAAACTGCATGAGTCCTGCAACAACCGTCAGTAGTTGACCATCGCACTGTGAATTGCCTGGTCGTTTCCTTGTTTTTAGAGGTTTTCCTTCGCTTCTTTCGGGTTGTCCTTCGGTTTGCTGTGGAGTGGTGGGGTGGGCGGGAGGGGGATGAGAACGTCATTCATATTGCGTCCATGCCCAAAACACTGGTATTATAGCATTTTCGCTTTTTGTGCAACATACTGCACAAGGATGTGGAACAAGAAAATCTGCCACAAGCGTACATGCATTTCGCGACCAGGTATTTACAGCGTTTTATGCCGAAATTTACAGCATTTGCGCCTCTTTGCACAACATGCTGCGCAAGGATGTGGAACAAGAAAATCTGTCACAAGCGTCCATGCCTTGCGCGACCATGCCCAAAACACTGGTATTTGCAGCGTTTGATGCCCATAACACTGGTATTTACAGCGTTTGCGCCTTTTTGTACGACATACTGCACAAGGATGTGTAACAATAAAATCTGTCACAAGCGTTTATCTTGCACTTAAAACACCCAAACATGCTGTCCCAAAGAACATAGCTTCAGTAAAAACTCCCAACCATGCTGTCCCAATTTTGGAACCCCCTTAAAACGGCTTTTCTCCTCCGTACCGCGCCTGCCAGTACAAACGACGTGTCGCGCAGAGCCCGTTCCAGACAAAATACAGCGCGTTAAGCTAGTAGTTTCGCACATATTCATCGAATCAAGCACGACTCTTGCTAAGAGCAAGAAGAACAACACATGGGCGCGGCCGATGCTTGCAGCGGAAAGCACATGGGCATGCAGCCGGACAAACCGGCGCAGGGACGATTCGCAGTGCACTGTGCTGCGAGGGCCAGGTTTACGGTTCACTGTGTTCTGCCGTGCCAAAGTGCCGCGGCAACGGGCGGGCGCGCGTCGCGCTGATACCAGGGTAGCATCGCAGTACAGGGCCTTACCAATTGAGGACGATACTCTCCGTTGATGACGAGGTCAAGCAAGCGCCGGTCCGTTGTGCAACATGCAGCGCTTTGGTGTCAGCGAATTCTTGCCATTGCTAGGGGGCCACACCGTGATTGGCCCTGCAGTCGCAGGCGAGCAGGCTGTTGCGCCAGCAAGGGTGGTCACCGAGAGGTGGTGTGTGTTTGCGACCCGGAGTTCCTGCTGATTGTTGTCACCTTGCCGACGGCTTCGTCAAACTTCGTCAAACTTTGTCGCACATCGCTCTGTTCCCGTTGATTCCGCTTTCCAGGATGGGTAGGCTGTTGAAATGGAGCTCTTCGCTTTTTGCATAGATTCGCATGTGATCAGAGCGCTGGCAACCAGTTGAGGTAGTGCAGCTCGCGCCACTGCCTGGCATTTTTATTTCAGCATAGGTCTTCGGAGCGCCCAACCCTCAGAAAAGCCGCAGAGAGCCCCGTCGAGTACCCCTGAAGCAAAAGGACGATCTCCGACTGTCCTGGAGTGCCCACCCTCTTTAAAGCGTTGCCCTGGCGCGCTCACCCCCAGAGAAGGCTGCAGAGAGTATCGCCGAGTATCCCTGGACTGAGGAAACTTCCGACAAAGAGTCCCACCAAGTATCCTTGCTCATGCCGCGTATCCTTGGAGTGGGCCCGCAGAGAGTTTCGCCGAGTACCCTGATCCGCGAAACCCATGACGGAAGGATGGCTCCGATCCAGCGGCCGGAACTGAAGCCCTGTGACCGCGGAGAGGAAGAGGAGTGTATTCATTACTCGCCTGCATATCCGGAATTCTCCTTAGATTCTCTCCCTTTTCGCAAGTGCCTGCAGGGCCAAGTCGCGCAAAAT